GTGTGTGTGTGTGTGTGTGTGTGTGTGTGTGTGTGTGTGTGGGGTCCATCTTACAGTGACCATTACAACCACAGAAACTGAAAAACTGCAGTGGACAAAAAAAACAACAACTAAGATGTCAAACTGACAAAAGACGAGCATCAAAGAAGTCTCCGTATGTAACCGCTGGGAATATTATCGGTGAACAGCCGTGTTCATATTGACAAATGGTGTCTAACCTGAATGACTGGACCCTGAAGGAGGGAAAGAGGTTGAGCTGTGATGCTGAGACCCTAAAAAGCAAAAAGATGAGTACATTAGTCTGGAGTGGGAAAAAAGTAGAACATTTGTAAGGCTGTGGCAGGCTGTGACGTTTCCACACTCGACCTTACGCTGAGACGTGTGGCTGTCCGGGGTGTGTGCATGACAATAAACATACAAATATACAAAAACATGATGACAGAAGTGCTGAACGTGAACGGAACATACAATCATGGTAAAAAGAAGGACACCTTCTTGCAATTTGAATATTTTACATATAAGGACAGAGTAAAAAAAACCTCCTAAAGTCATGCAGAAAATAGTTAAATCAAAAAAATAATGTGATGTCACATAAAGTAAGTTATTGTAAGTTATTGATTGTGAGCAAACCCCTCCCCCTCCCCAAATATTCAAGCACAGCACATTTGAAATGTGAGTTTTTGACCTGTGCATGTGACTGTGCACACACAGTGTCAGGCATCACAGCGTGCACACGCCCTGTGTGAGGCTTCATAAAGGTGGAAGTTCTGCAGCAGTGCATTCAAATATCAGAGTATCAGTGATCAGAACAGGACACATTGTGAAGCATTTCTTACAGTGATGGTTTGGAAGATGCAGAGGAGGCTGTTGGTGACCGCGCCCTTCCTGCTGGGGTCCAATGGGAGTGTAGGAGGCCGTGCTACTGCCTGTCCAAACAGCTGCGTCACAGGGAAGCAAAATCTGATTAGTGTTTTTGAAATAACGCGCTCAAATCTGAAATGAATGTATGCAAAAGTCAAATTAACCAGTGAATAAGTTACTAAACATCCGTTAGCTAAATGTGCAGAAGAAATCAGAAGCACCTTTGTTTGTTCTTTGCACTGCAAATTTATTTATAACCTGCATATAATCAGCACTAAGAATTCATTTGTAAATAAAACAAATATTATTTCCAATTAAAAATGATTATAACTCAGATATTTATCCAACATTTACTGTTTAAGTGCATGTTTGAAACTGAACAATCCTCCAGTCTGTAGTGGCTGTCAGACTAAGCTGACAAAAGACAAGACTATGGCCCCGCCCCTCCCTGAGCCTGGTTCTGCCGGAGGTTTCTTCCTGTTAAAAGGGAGTTTTTCCTTCCCACTGTCGCCAAAGTGCTGCTCATAGGGGGTCATATGATTGTTGGGTTTTTCTCTGTATCTATGAAGCGCCTTGAGGCGACTTATGTTGTGATTTGGCGCTATATAAATAAAACTGAATTGAATTGAATTAAGCAGCATCATGTTTACACTGTTTAGTGTCGAGCTCAGGAGCACATGCATGAAAAGATTGGTGTTAATGAATGAATCAAACCAGCTGACGTGTCCAGCACTAACCCACGGAAACAAATATGAATGATAACAAGTGCTTTTGGTTCTTTTATTACTGGGTGATCTGGCAACAGGACCAAGAGGCTTTGATTTGTAAGAAGTGTGTTAGTACAAGGACGTGAGCTCACTGTGGAATGAAGGCTGAGTCTGAGACTGCGTATTGCTGCTGTATCCATTCTGTCTATTCAAATGAGAGGGAGGTAGAGGGGGCTGCTGTGAGTGGGTGTGCTGCGAGGGATGCTGGGCAGCCTGCTGCTGAGAGGAAACCTGGGGTGGGCTTTGAGGTCGTTGTTGAATGACTTGAGCCTGTGGAGATGGAGTTTGGAGACAGCCATCACCATGACTGCCCTGCAGTGGCAGCATGGAGCCAGAGGCAGGCACTGGAAGACAAACAGAGGAGCACGTCGGACCTGGTTTACATGCTGTGACTGTTATCAACTATCTGCGGAGGAAAGATAGAAAGAAGCTTTGTCGTCCCTTAATATAAAGTTTGAGCAGTCCCAGTGTAAAACAAAAGTACACATGACAAGATATGAACATTGACAGGTTCATCAAACTGCGCTGAATAATGATCTGCTGACCTTTGGGTGACACAGCCAGGTTAGAGTATCTGGTAACAGGTGGGGGGCCGTGGGGTTCAGAAGGGGGCAGAAGGGGACTATAGTGGTCTGGAGCTGCTTGGTGGTCAGACAGAGGCATACCAGGCGGAAGGTCCATCTGTATACAATCAGGGATGTATTCTTCTTTGATTAGTCCGCTCGATGCAGCTGTGAGAGGCAGGAGGAGGTGAGGTCACACAAAGAGTCACAGCACTGATTTGTATCTAATGCTGATGGATGTATGAGTGCGAAGGAGAGTTCATATCAGACTACACCATGTAAGGGGTCACCTACCAAAGGCCTTCAATGATGTGAATGTACTTAATATTGTGACAGAAGTCAGTGTGACGTGGGCCTGTTCACTAGCAGACCACTGGTGTTTTCATTTAGCTGTTTAGTGTTCGTGTAAATCACACACATACATTCCTCTGCTCGTTTCCTCATTATTTAAAAATAAAGTTGTGATATTAGGAATAAAATGAGAGAAACAACAATGCTGTCGAGTGTTGCCAGGCTCTTTTTTCACGAAGGGACATAATTATCAGAGACGCTGCTCATGTGGGACAAATGCACACGAACAAATCTTTAACGCTGTTTTTTGCTTTCATTTACTAACACTTGCATTTATGTCATGAAACATGTTTGTTTAGTAATAATACATGATTGAGGGAGAACGTCCACATTCATGATTTCACATTCATGTGTAACATTTCTGATCACTGTCATGAGAATCGACCATAAACCTTAAAGTAAAAACATAAATGACTGGAACGGAGCAGCAGCGCCCAGCAGCTCATTTCCTTGGACTTGTTGGTCCGCTTGCCTGTCGATCCCGCGTATCTGTTCCACTAATGCTCGCGACACCGTTCAGGCAACAAAGTAACGTAACGACTGGTGGAACAAATTACTCAAATTACTGTCTCCTGGGAGGAATTAAGCAGTGATGGCAGAGGGAGCCAATCAGAATCAAGTGGAATTTGAATTGCTACGTTCTTACTGATTCCATCCCTACGTGTGACTTTCCCACAGATCCCGGGGTCATTTTAGTCCAGCCTCTCGGCAGCTTCGGTCGTCGCTGTGTAAATGTTTTTTGACTTCTCTGTCCCGGTTACAAAGAGATGTTTGAGAGTTCGAAGTGTGTGGTTGGCTGCGCAGCACAGAGTGACTCGGATGATGAGAACACGCACGCAGCTTTCTGTCAGTATCATTAGTTAGGTGGTGTCAACCACACGTCTGAGGAATACAGAGACTTCTTCTAGACTGCTCATTGCATATGAATACAAACAAATCTCGAGGTCCCCAGTTACAACATAAACATTTACTAAATGTATTTTGTCACAACTACATGTGGATTGGAAATGTTCATGCTGTGTTTCTGTGAAACAGAACTCACCTGTGTTTTGAAGGCTGAGACCAACTTTTAGAGAACAGGGACAGAATAAGAGAAACATTTTGACTGAAGACATCACAACAATATCTGTCATTCATGATGTCATAATGTCATTGCAGTTAAGGAGACCGTGGAGTCCACGTAAGAGCTGCTGAGGTAAAGCGTTGACCTACCGATGCCTGGTGACACCACCCTCTCATAATGGTAGGGGTTGACACACACGCTGTCATACTTGAGGTCAAAAGCATACTGGCAGAATTTGACATGCTTTAGTTCATTCTTGTGGAGGTCAGGCCAGCGCCACAGCCGTGCGTAAATCACATGAGGGAAGCCTTTCCTGCCTGCCACCTGAAGAGACAGCAAAGCAACATTACAGCAGTTCCAGTACAGTCTAAACCAGGAAGCCTGTTTTAGAGCTACGACAGGGAAGCTGTGAAGCGTAACAGGAAAACCTTTGTTGACTTCCTGCGTACAGCAGAGAATTGTTTGTGGATCTGTATACTGCTGTCTGAGTGACAGCGTTCAACAACAGTACAGATTAGCAGAGCAGAGCGCAGCTTCAACACGCATCTTAGTCCTATTGTCTCAGATTTTGGCCTCAACACTACACCACCCAAAATAAAACTACACCGACAATGGCCACCAGACTTCAAGGTGAAGTTAGATTTCACCACACAAGCCCTGCTTGCCTTGGTTACCATGATGGGAAGCCAGTGCTGCATACGCACTCATCCGCCACTTTGCATTGATATGTGTACACTGTGGTTGTGGAGGGCCGGACATGGTCGGCAAAAATGCTTCTTCAAACGTTTACACAAGGCTCAATTGTTACTAAAGGGTAAGATATCCCCACAAGACCACACCTGCACCACCACCAGCCTACACCACCGACGTAAGGCAGGATGGACCTGTGCTTTCATGTCATCCTTAGAGATGTTTGTGGAGAAAAAGTCCAGAAGCTCGGAAGTTTTTAAAAATACTACAACTATCGGACACCATCGGCCATGTTACGTTACGTCCCTTTAATCACCGCTCAGCCTCGTTCTGATGCTTGGTTGGAACTTGCAGGTCATCTTAGCCACATACCTAAATGCAGTTGCTGTCATGTGATTGGCTGATTATACAGTGGGATGCAAACGTTTGGGCAGCCTTGTTAATAGTCATTATTTGCCTGTTTAAATCGTTGGTTGTTACAATAAAAATGTCAGTTAAATATATCATATAGGAGACGCACACAGTGATATTTGAGAAGTGAGATGAAGTTTTAATTGTTTAAACAAAATCAGGCAGGTGCATAAATTTGGGTACCACAAAGAAATGAAATCAATATTTAGTAGATCTGCCGTCTGCAGAAACTCCAGCCTCTAAACGTTTCCTGTAGGCTCCGATGAGAGTCTGGATTGTGGTTGAAGGTATTTTGGACGATTCCTCTACAAAACATCTCTCGTTCATTCAGGTTTGGTGGCTTCCGAGCATGGACAGCTCTCTCTAACTCACAGCACAGATGTTCAATAATATTCAGGTCTGGGCTGAGATGAACGTTCCAGAACGTTGTTCTTGTTCCTCTGCAAGAAAGCTTTAGTGGATTTTGAGCAGTGTTTCGGTCGTTGTCTTGTTGAAAGATCCAGCCCCGGCGCAGCTTCAGCTTTGTCTCTGATTCTCCAGAATCTGCTGATACTGAGTGGAATCCATGTGTCCCTCAACTTTGACAGGATTCCCAGTCCCTGCACTGGCCACACAGCCCCACAGCATGATGGATCCACCACCATATTTTCCTGGAGGCAGCAGGTGTTTTTCTTGGACTGCTGTGTTCTGTTTCCTCCATGCATAACGCCCCTTGTTATGCCCAAATAACTCAATGTTAGTTTCCTCAGTCCACAGCACCTTATTCCAGAATGAAGCTGGTTTGTCCAAATGTGCTTCAGCAAACCTCAAGCGGCTCTGTTTGTGCTGTGGGCGGAGCAAAGGCTTCCTCTGCATCACTCTCACATACAGCATCTCCTTGTGTAAAGTGCGCCGAATGGTTGAACGATGCACATGATGATGATGTTGCAGGTCTTTGGTGCTGGTCTGTGGGTCGACTCTGACTGTTCTCACCGTTGCTTCTGTCTCTCCGAGATGTTTCTTGGTCTGCCACTTCCAGCCTTAACTTGAACTGAGCCTGTGGTCCATTGTCTCAATATGTTCCTAACTGTGGAAACAGACGGCTTGACTCTCTGAGGCAGCTTTCTGTGTCCTTCCCCTAAACCATGATGCTGAACAATCTTTGTCTTCAGGTCATTTGACAGTTGTTTTGAGACCCTGTGTTGCTGCTCTTCAGAGAAAATTAAACAATCCTTGCACACTTTCTGTAAATCCAATAAACTTCATCTCACTTCTCAAATATCACTGTGTGCGTCTCCTATATGATGTATTTAACTGACATTTTTTATTGTAACAACCAACGATTTAAACAGGCAAATAATGACTATTAACAAGGCTGCCCAAACGTTTGCATCCCACTGTAGATTTACAGCTGAATAGGTGTACCTAATAAAGTGGCTGATGACACTGTATGAAAAAACCTACAGAATTTTCTGACAGTTCAGGTTTTCACATAAAGGTCAGCTTTTAAATTGCAGCAAAGATCGGTAGGTAATTAGTCATGTAGACGGAGACAAACTCGCGGCCCGCGGCCCATTTGCAGCCCACGTCACCCCTACTTGCGGCCCGCAATTTAATACGGAATTTAATATGAAGGCAACAGGCAGAGTGTTACAGGCGGAGCCCTTTAAGAACGTAGCCTCATTCACAGTGTGGTCCGTGCTGCAGGGACAACGTGTGGGACCGCCTCTCCCATTGTGTGTGAGCGCGAGGAAGGGAGGAGAAGCAGAATCAGTACGAAGTGCTACCGACGAGAAAGATGGAAGCATGTAAATATAATAAAACCACTGCAGCCAAACAGAGAGCCTGACGAGCCCAGCTGTAAGTAAGCTGTTAAGACTCGACTGTACACCGTGTTCGTGTTTTCCTCCGAAACAATAAGCTCCGTTGGGCCAGCCTTTCAATGCCTCTCTCTGTCTCTGCTAGCAAAGTTGACCCAGACAGTAAAGCTAGTCAAGAGACCCCCTAACTCGATGTATTAGCCGGCGGTCCCTTTACTACGGTTCAGACCAGGCTGAGCTAACAAGAGAGTACAAACTGTGTTAGGTTAGTGAGAGTTATTCATAAAGAAAACAAAGATGGTCTATGTCTGCATTTTTACTTAGTTAAATACGAACAAAGTTATAGCAGAGGTGCTGCCACGTGTCTGTGCAGAAAGAGAGGACCAATTTGTTTATTTGGTAGTTCAACGAAAGGCTTCGGTTAGATAAGAGTGAGTTGAAAAAAGTTTGTCTTATTATACAATATTTAACCTCCTAGGACCTGAGCTCTACCACAGCAGCATTTTAATTTCTCTTTGATATTTGGGCTGACTGGGACCCGATGAATGTAAAAACAAAGAATTACCAGATTTTTGTTTCTAAGAAGAATGAGAGCCACATATGAGGATATTAGTTTAAGATTTCAGTAGGACAGCAGCAGCATAACATCCTCGTAAGTGCACATCAGGCCCTTGTAGAGCAAAATTGAGTATTTTGGTCTAAATAACCCACATATGTGGACCCAGGTCCTAGGAGGTTAAAATAAAGAAAAACACTGTTTTTGGACATAATTGTGGCTGTTTTCTTGTTCTAATTGAACACTTTAGTGTCCAACAAGACAACAGTGCCAGCAGCGGCCCCCAGCTCCTCTGAGTTGGAGACTCCTGCTCTGGATGCTTCATTCAAACCAGAGACCGACAACTTTCAAGGTCAATACAAACCAAACCAAGCAGGAAATGTGATGTGGGACGATTCCCCAAAGCAGAGCAAGACAAAGCCAATAGGATACAAAGAGTTGTTGCACAAAGGCATCAGGATTTTGGCAGAAAGTTTGTGACGTTGTAACACTAACATTTTGTCATTTTTTATGCCTACATGCTGTATGTGATAAACAGACAGTGAACCTGAATCGCACTGTCAGCCCTAAACAAAACGACTGCTGCACCAATAAACCTCAAAGCACTAATAATTGTGTATAGAATCACAGTTCAGTTGAATACTGACCACAGCAACTCTAACCCGCCGAGGAAATTTGTAAACATGAAATGAAAAAAGTGAAATCATTGATAAACATATGAATCATGCACAGAAAGATCAAAGCAGTGATCAAAGTGACGCCCTTCATGTTGCAGGTGGACTGACCTGCAGCCGTCCATCTAGAGTCCTCTGGATGGTGACACACTTGCTGGGATGAACACCATTGGTGGTGACGGCAGTGATGAGAGAGTCCAGCTCGTCCTTCTTCTCCTTTAGCTTCTTCACCAGACTCTCGATGGCGCGCTTAGCAAAGCCCTCGTTCTCCCCGCCCTGCCGGTGGCACATGAGGCTGTGGACGATGCTGAGGCAGGCATCGTTGCTGCTTGGTGGGTTTACTGACATGATGGTGCTGTCACAGGGCCAAAAATGGACATTTGTTCTACTTACTAGGCATGTGACAAAAAGCAGAGACATCTAAAGTTGATGGCAGCTAAAACATGGCGTCATTCCTGTGTTGCTTACCTGGTGTTAAGTTGGTCCACCAATGAGTGACCAGAAAGTTCACTGGCATCATGATGGCCCAGCTCTGAATCGTTCCCTGTTAGTGGAGCAAGAACACCAACACTTAGTGGATCCTAGTGAGGTCACGTACCCAATAGACTACTGTGCACGTTAGCATATGCTACTTCCGGTGTGGAAACTCCTGTGGGGAGCTTTGTTTCCGGTGTCCTATTCGCGCCTGGTTTACGGTCCAAAACAAGTTAAGCAAATGAATGAATCAAGCGGCGATTTACATTTCTATAGATGTCTCGGGCATTTACCCAATATATCTGTAAATGATGTTCATCGACTTGTCGATATTTTCCCCGCGCCTCAGAGCAAAAGAGAAAAGGATTCAAATGTTATATTTCTCAGCTGTCCCTCGTTTATCGCGGGTGTTATGTTCTAAAAATAACCAGCGAGAGGTGAAATCAAGGAGCCAATTTTATTTTTTGACGGTGCAAAACGTTTGGTGGACATCGTGGACATACAGCACTTCAGAGTCACACTGCTAGCATCGATGCAGCGATTCTGTACAGGAGAGACGTCACGGAGGAGATCGTCTGCAGCGATCAGGACGCAGGACACAATGTGACGTAAAAATAAGCAAACTTGCACTAAACAATCTGCGAAACAGCGAGGTGAAAGGTGAACCGCGTTATAGCGAGGGACCGCTGTAATCTTGAAGGTAAGTCACAACATACCCTTCGTAAATACTAATGTATAGAAACCGTTACCAGCAATCATTCATTTTTGTGTGGCTTTTTTCACGGTTTGTTAACATGCTGTGTAGGTGTGTACTTGACTAGCTGATCTCGACATAACGGGAAACATCTGGTTTGACTATTCTTCACCTGTAGTTTGAATGCTGAACATTTGCCTGTTTAAATCATGAGACCAGTCACTACACAGAGATGTGCTTCTGAATGTGGACGATGTGTCTTCTGCTGCAGTGATGCAGTTCTGCTTGTGTTGAGTGATGTAAACAACTGATCGATCTAAACGCTTTAAACGTCAAAATTGATCATTAGATTTTTTATGACACAGCAGCGGTGAGTGTTCCCACCTTCTGCTCTTTGTAACTTAACGCGATCTTTCCGTTTTCGAGTTTTGGACATGATTTTGGAGGATATCTTCGCAGTAGCGATTGACCGCAAAGTAAAGCTACCGGAAATGTACAACCCCACATCCGGTCTCAAACCAGGAAGTTAGCATTTTCTCGTGCACAGGGTCTATAGTCACTAAAGATGAAGAAGGTGTTTCTCAGGCTGGGATTTTGTCTCCTCCCAGTCCTGAACTAGGGATTGTTTACAGATATGAATGTGAATAAGAACTGTTAACCACTACAGCACTGAGCCACCGCTACTCTGCCTCGTCCTCAAATTATCCCATTCACAAGATTTTCAGAAAACTTGACCTCTGACCTTGATCTTGAGGTCGAGGTCACTGAAATTCAAACTGATCTGAGATTTTCAGTGGACGCAACTATGGTAGAAATGTTGAAATCCTATGTCACCTCATTCTTGAGTCACAGACTTGACTGACGATAACACCCCATCAGCTTTTTCTGCCCGAGGGTTGAAAAGGCTCCACGAGGCAGCCGGGCCACAAAGAGCTGGTTACTCTTCCTAAATCCTTTATTCCCGTCTGGATAAAAGCATAACAGGACGAAGTGAATTAAGCTGCCTTTGGCCTCATTAGCAAATGGAAAAGAGTGAAATGCTAATAGCTCCAGTGTGGGGCAGCTATAGGTAGACTAACCTATGGCAGGAAGGCAAGGTTAGGGAGCAGACAGGAAGTGTGGATAGATAATGCTGAGCTTTGTCTCTGATGCCAACACTGCAATACAAACTGCAAGTGCCTTTAAGTTAACACTGTCACGGCTGGCGGGGTGAGCCGTGTGGTGTTGGAGGAAAAGGGGGACCCAAAATGCGGCAGTGACTGATGATTCGAGTGATGTTTATTTACAAGTGGTGGAGTGGCAAAAACAGGCAGTGAGGCATGACAAAACAACTGAAGAAACCTAAACTGGGAGAACTAAATGACAAACCTGAGACCATACAAAAGGGGTGCGGGGCAGAGAGACGCAGCGACAGGAACGGAACACCATAGAACGCAGACGAGCCGACAACGAACACAGACCGACACCCACTATATACACACACAAGGTAATCAGGTAATCACACACAGGAGGGAAGAACAGCTGAACCTAATACACATGAGGACCGGAGGAGACAAGCTGAACACAATGACAACAGACACAGACTTTCAGAACAAAACAGGAAATCTAGGACCCGAACCGGACACAAGGGAGGAGGACACAGAATAACTAGAACAGAGGAAAATAATCACAAAACGCTGGGTCAACGACCCAGGACCATGACAAACACACTCTAAAGGCAAAGCTAGCTGTGAGGGCACACTGAGGTATGAAGGTACATATGATGCAAAATGTGAACATTTGTCAAATAAAATGTGAGGACTGTTATGGGCTCAAAATGTGGTCATAAATATTTTGTATGTGTAAAAAAGATTTGTGTGTGTGGAAAAAAAGCGCCCCTCCGACAGCCAAACCCATCTGTTCTCTGATTGGATTGTTACATTTGTGATTGACATGACATTGACCAATCAGATGAAAGGAAGAAAAATAGGGTCAAAATCCGTACTTGTAACTTGCAGGGTTTTTTTCTAAGTCCACACACAAATCTTTTTTAAATTCAAATTCAAATTTTATTTGTCACGTACACAGTCATACACAGTACGATATGTAGTGAAATGCTTGGACAACTGCTCGTGACCTAAAGAAAACAAAAAAGGAAAAGGCTATGAATAAGATAGGAAATAAATATGAAAAATTAAAAAGGGTAAATTTAACTAGGAAGGAATAAAATATAAATTAAGGTTAAAAATGAAATAACTGTACAACACAAATTAGAATGAAGGGTAAATTTAACTGGGAGAATAAGATAAAATATATAAATTAAAGTTGAAAATAAAATAACTGTACAACAAAATAACAATACACAATATAGAACTATATAAGAATGTATGAAGAAATCTAAATATAAATAAATATATACACAATAACAGCAGCTGTACAAGTATTAACCGGAAATGAAGAATATAGTGACCAGTGTTGTGCAAAAACAAAGTCCAGAAAGTCCAGTGTGTGTGTAAGAACCATATGTGTGGGTCAGTACTGTGTGGTGGTGTGATTGAGAGACCGTATCGCCTGCGGGAAGAAGCTCCTCCTCAGTCTCTCTGTGTTGGTCTTCAGGGAGCGGAATCGCTTTCCTGACCTCAGCAGAGAGAACAGTCTGTTGTTGGGATGGCTGAGGTCCTTCACCATCTTCCTGGCCTTGGTCCAGCACCGCCTGCTGTAGATTGAGTGCAGGTCAGGGAGCTCGGAGCGGATGGTGCGCTCAGCTGACCGCACAACCCTCTGTAGAGCTCGTCTGTCCTGCATGGTGCTGTTCCCGAACCAGGTTAAGATGTTTCCCGCCAGGATGCTCTCTATGGTGCACGAGTAAAAGTTCCTGAGCACCTTGGAGGGCAGTTGGAAGTCTCTCAAGCGTCTGAGGTGGTAGAGACGCTGTCGGGCCTTTTTCACCACGGTGTTGATGTGACAGGACCATGACAGGTCCTGCGTGATGTGAACTCCGAGGTATTTGAAGCTGTCCACTCTCTCCACTGGGCACTCGTTGATGACGGGGGTCTGGTAGTTCCTCTCCTGCTTAGTGCTGAAGTCCACTATCAGCTCCTTTGTCTTACTGACGTTTAGAAGGAGGTTGTTCCTCTGGCACCAGTTCTCCAGATTCCTAATCTCCTTCAGGTAGGCCGTCTCGTTGTTATCAGAGATCAGGCCCACCACGACGGTGTCGTCAGCAAACTTGATGATGGTGGTGGAGCTGGTAGTGGCCACACAGTCATATGTGTACAAAGAGTACAGCAGGGGGCTCAGAACACACCCCTGGGGGGCTCCAGTGCTGAGAGTGGTGGAGGCTGAGACATGTCCGCCCATCCTTACTGCCTGTGGTCTGCCAGTTAGGAAGTTGGAGATCCACTGACACATAGATGAGCTGAGTCCCAGATGCTCCAGCTTGGTGGTGAGTGTGGAGGGAATTATGGTGTTAAATGCAGAGCTGTAGTCTATGAAGAGCATTTTAACATAATTCCCCCTTCTAGTGTCCAAGTGAGTGAGTGATGTGTGGAGGAGATGAGAGATGGCATCGTCTGTGGAACGATTTGGACGGTAAGCGAACTGTAGTGGGTCCAGTGTGTCTGGTAGTGAAGAAATGATGAAGTCTCTGACCAGGCGTTCAAAGCACTTCATCACTACTGAGGTGAGGGCTACAGGGCGATAGTCATTGAGAGAAGCAGGGTGGGGTTTCTTCGGGACAGGAACAATGATGGACTCTTTGAAGCATGTGGGGATCACCGACTGAGATAAAGAGATGTTGAATATCTCAGTGAACACAGGAGCTAGCTGGTATGCGCAGTCTCTGAGGATACGACCTGGGATGCCGTCTGGTCCTGCTGCTTTCCTGGTGTTCACTCTCTTGAAGGCTCTCCTTACTTCATGCTCGGAGATGACGAGCACGTTTCCGGTGCTGGCAGTATCTTCCTGTCTGCAGCCGTTAGCGCCGCTAACACTAGCATTGTTGGAGACCTTAGCTGCAGCCTCGAAGCGAGCATAGAAAGTGTTCAGCTCGTCTGCCAGAGTCACGGCCGCGTTCGTCATACCGGTTGTTGGTGCTTTATAGTCCGTTATTGTCCTTAGTCCCCGCCACAGGCTCCTAGAGTCACTCTGTTGGAGTTGTGACTCTAGTTTCCTCCCGTAGCGCTGCTTCGCCTCTTTCACCGCCCTCCGCACGTTATATGACGCGGCTTTGTACGGGTCCATGTCCCCCGTCATGAGTCCCGTGTTGTAGGCAGCGGTGCGGGATCTCAGAGCGTCGCGGATGGTTTTATCCACCCACGGCTTCTGGTTGGGAAACGTTGTGATAGTCTTTGTCTCCACGGTATCATCCGCTAGTTTCCCGATGAATCCCACAACCGCTTCCGTAAACACGTTGACGTCATCGTCGGAGCTGTTTCTGAACATGCCCCAGTCTGCGTCATCGAGTGCGTCCTGTAACGCGGCCACCGATTGATCCGTCCAGCGCGCGACCTTCCTCTGAACCGGAACTTCCTGTTTCAGCCTTTGTTTGTATTTTGGCATGAGGAAGATGGCGGCGTGATCAGATTTGCCAAACGGAGGGCGGGATTGTGCCTTGTAGCCTTGTATGCCTTACACATACAAATCTTTTTTACGCACACACAAATCTTTTTTACAAGTACAAAATATTTATGACCACATTTTGAGCCGATAGACTGTATTTTGACATTGTTCACACGCGTGTTTTTAATTTGCAGTTGCAGAAAAATATTCACAAATGTGCAGACTGATATCTTCACAAAGCCAGAGGCTTTAATTGAATAATTCTAATTTTCTTCATCTTAATAAACGTTAGCACATTAGCACTGAGTAAATCCACACAGACATCAGAAATCCGTGATCAGGGAGAACATACAGAGAACAGCAGAGACGGTGGAGGCACAGACGTGTCCACGTTCCTGTCTCCGTCCTTTTAGGATTCTGTGATGGTGGAGGATAGTTTGCTTCCCACTGACAGCATTGGGAGGCAAACCATCTTCCACCATCATTGGACCTGCTCAGGTGATTAATAACTAATTATTAATTCATATATTTACATCATTTTAGACACTTTGTGTTAAAAAGCACGATGACAGCCACAGACATTTTGAAACCAACTTTGTGGTCTGACTGGTTCTGTCTGATCTTTACTGTACTAACCACGGGTCTGTTGTGTGTCACCCAGCTTCCTCATCAGCCATCTACTACAGATGATGATCAAGTATGTGATCATTACTACAATAGAACCTCAGAAATATGCAAAACCATAGGTGATTGTTCATGTTTATGTGGTTTGGCATGCATTCTTTTTTCCTTTTAAACAACAATAACAAAGTTTTAACAAGCCGTTTAACAACATTCATTTACTTAAATCATTGCAAAGTTCCCTGATGTGATTCATGGATTTCATCTGCATGAAATTTCATTAGAAATCAAATCAATCTGCTGCATGACACCAACTTGGCACAGTTGCCTTTTAGCATAATAAACATGGGCCAATCAGCATGAAGGTACTGAGGGAGACTGGTTTCAGAGGTGAAGTAACGGTCCTCTTTTACTGCCAAGCTGGGTCAAACTGAGGCATATCCAAGCTGTCACAGCAGCATACTGATCAGTGCATTTATGCTATATAGCTAGCTAGCTAACATTGTTTCTTCATTCATGCTTTTTTTGCTGCTGCATCTAATTAGAAGTGCAATGATGTCCTCATTAATCAGAGTGCTAATGTACTAAAAGAAAGCTCTGAACAAACTTACCATGGCTCTGTGTGCATTGTGATTGTGAATCAGGCATGGGGAAAGAGGACAGCACTCCTTTGGCTCTTTTCCACTAGTGCCTACTTGGTTTGACTCGATTTATTGATGTGGTACTCAACTGTAATGTCACTTTTTTCCAAAATACTATTTCGAGTTTATTCTTTTTTTTTTTTTTTTTTTTTTGGGGGGGGGGATCTGGCCCTAATGCTCTGTTGCAGATTAGAGTGGACTTCAGCAAAACATCTTCCTCTCTCTGCTTCTTGGGGGGAGGAGGGAACAGAGAACGTGTCCCCAGAGTGCTCAGGGCCTGGATCTCTGTGAGTGCTGCCCACTGAGCCGCAGCACCACAGTTCCTAAGTCCCTGTGGAGGGTGGGATGCACCAAAACTTCCATCGGTGGTTGTCTAATGAGCTGCCAATGTTTTCCTTTCGTACAGACACCTGGGCATCATTTTTGTCTCCAAGGATATCCATGTCAACATCATCCCCCTTGTCTTCTCCGCATCCCTCTTTCCAGTCAAGAAGCCGGTTGAAGAGAGGAGGAAATTCAGCCTCCGGGACCAGGATTCTGGGAGTGATGCCAGTGTGTGCCTGACACGATACAGATGCAGAGGGGATGGGTAGTTTCCCCAAGACAGTCAACCCACAACAGCTGGGTGAGGGCAGGATGCGACATCCTTAACCTTCCCACCACCAGCGTTCCCCTGAGAGGATCCAATGTGAGCCATACCCACTAATGCTCAGCTTTGACAGCTAACAATAGCTACACAGTCACAAGCTCACTTGAGGTGCTAGCTTTAAAACCGCTTACTAAAAACAATATACTGTGACGAAAAAATATAATTCCAGTGTAGGAACATTTGTGAAAGCGGAAAAACCCACGTTCATGGACCTGCATCAACAAGCACTGGATAAACTTGGTCGGGGACCACTGAGGAGGTCTAGTGATCTTCATGGGGAAGAAGGAATGCCTGGTGTGGCCACTAAAAAAAGGGGGTTGGGGACCCCCTGTCCTTGAAGCGACTGGTTTGTCTTAGCCTGGCGTGGTAGACCGTGACTGGTCACACCAGAGGGCGCTTCCCACAGTGAGATACCAAGCAAGATACCAAAGGTAAAAAAGAACTACAACTTTACAGACTGAAGTGTAACAACATAGGGAAGTAAATGTCATGCAGCATTTTGTAACAAAGCAAAATATAGTCATATAGAATTACCTCAAGGTTCATACTTTAAAACTGTACAGCACAGTCTTGTGAATGTTTCTTTGCACCTTTTTTGCAAACACATATGCGAACTTTGAAATATCTGCTATTTGCTTTAAAATGAAATGCACAGTGTGTTCTGCGCACAGTTTCTAAGCGTGTGGAGAAGGTAGGATATTGTAATGTAATACGGCCTTTTACTATAGCCTAACTCATGGAAAGAATACAGGCAGCCGCTGCTTTTAGTGACTGCTATACTTTCCTAACCGCACACACACTTCCCTAAACATGCTGTTCATGAAACAGGAGCACCAATCTAATACTCGCAATGCAAAATCACAGTGGAATGGACACGGCCACGCCAAACTGACCGTGTCCTATGTGCTTTACAAAACCTGAACAGTTTCCAGGCCATTCATTCCAGTCAGTGACATTCCGCACATCCCGAAACCTGCTGCCTCGACATGCCCAGCTGATATAATACAGATATAAATATGAAGGTTATTTACATTTTCCACTTAAACTTTACCAATAAGATTGGACATATTTGAACGCTGGAACCGGAAAACGGACGATACAACACCGGTCAGTATGTACCAAACGGGACAGTAGAAAGAGCAGTTGTTGCAGATTAAAAGCAACAATTTAGCAAGCTAACTTGACTCTTCCTCACGCTTTCGTAACAGCAATGACGAAAAATAGAATAAAAGATAGAGAAACTATTTCTACTTACACATCAGCCAAAGTAGAGAAGAACTTGGACAGAACGATCGCTGAGCTATTCGACAATTGCCTCAAGTGTTGCACTCCGACAGCTCTGCGTGCTGTGTCTGCTGCCCAGAGCTGCCGTTTGTGTTTATAGCGATTTTTGTTAGATCTGAGTGTCTCGCTGTGTTCACGGGGGGGGATTTCTCTGTGAATTCCTGTAGTGGAGAAAGCCAGCGTTTCTCAGAGGCTCTACTGCGCTAGCTTGATGTTTCTCAGTTGTTTCATCCCTTTATCAGACCCACTGTCTCCTCGTGCATCTTGCCCCTTCCTCTCGTGCACGCCACAATAACAATAGCTGGGAGACGACGTGCGCGTCAGTGTCTCGACACGCCGCAGCCAATCGGCGGTCAGGTGTCACAGGGCACGCACCTCTCGGCCAATCGCGCCGCGGTTCTCACAGCAGGACCGCTAGCCACGAACTGTCTGGTTCGCCTAGATTGGCCCGCGAGACTGTTTTTCTAAAGTGGCGCCGCTGAGGATTAGCCCCGAGTCACCACCACCAACTGGAACGGCACGGCTCGGTATTTGAGCACGACTCCAGCTCACACTGAATACATCAACAACGCATGTTAGTTCACTGACACGTCATTTACATGTGCAACAGCACAACTTTGGCCTTCTAGCAGCAAAAACAGGGAAAATGGCACTCGGAGAATCCTTACACGAAGACTGCGGTAACGTCCGTGGGGGGAGGGGGCTATGCCATGATCGTTTTAAATCAGATGTGACCCTTCTAATGAAAATTTGATTAGATACTGTCTCCCAATAACAAGCCAGAGGTGCTGAGATTGTTGCAGAAGAATGGACTCAGTGAAACATTCACAGTCCAAACAACATTTTTGTTTCCAAAATGTCAGATCTGTGAACACCACGCATTTCTCCCAATACGGTGACGATTTGGTAAAAATACAGACAACTAAAGACACTACGCTCTACAGGTACATTTGCATTTAAGTGTCTTTAAGTATTTAATGTGTCTATAGCTGAACATACAATTCAACGTGTACAGAGAGTTTACCTTCCACAAGTAAGTTTCTACTCTGGTTTAAACAAAACAGTCCCTCTAAGTACTTAACAATACGCGTCTGCTTTGAAACTACTCCAGGACAAACAGCCACAACATTAAGGGAACAAGCACTGTGCTTGTGTAACTGCAGGACAAATAAGAGGCAGCGAAACAAACTACTCGGATCACATCAGCACAGAGAGCCAGTAGTTTACATTTGGGGCTTTTCTGATACAAAGTCTTATAATAAATTACATTATGTTCAGGTTTATTTTAGGAAAATGTTTGGATTAAAATACAGCCTTTAAAGGACATTAGTCATGTTGCATAGGAAAAGGTCCTGAAGCCAATGACCTCCATGTGCCTCCAGCAGCAACCCAAGAAACTGTCCATCACATCTTCTCTCTTGCATGTTGTTACAGGAGCAACATTTCTAACATTGCCGTCATGGATAGAAGTATTTACTGTACATTACATGGAGAAACGTTCTGAGCCACCTACATATTACACTTGGAGGGAGCTGTAACAACTTTTTCTGATTTTGGTTCTGTAATTCACCACAATGCATTTTAATTAACTTGGATGCAGCTGAAGTGCAGACTTTCAGCTGTAATTCAGTGGGTTGAACAAAATGATTGCAGAAAAATGAAACGACCTGGATCTTTTTTTAAAACACAATCCCTTCATTTCAGGGGCTCAAAAGGACAAATTAAATAACTGAAAGTAAAATGTTCACTTGTAATACTTGGTTGAAAGCTCTTTGCTGACACTGACAGCCTGAAGTCTGGACTCGTGGACATCACCACATGATGGTTTCCTTCTGTTTAATGCTGCCAGGCCGTCACTGCAGCAGCTTTCAGTTGCTGTTTGTTTGTGGGCCTTTCTGTCTCAGGTTCAGTCTTCAGTAAGTGAAATGCTCAGCTGGGTTAGGATCAGGTGATTGACTTGGCCATTTAAGAATATCCCACTGTTTTGCTTTAATAAACTGGGTTGTTTTGGGTCATTGTCCATCTGAACTATGGAACATTCAGTTTGACTGCATTTAGCTGGATGTGAGCAGACAGGCTGTCTCTGAACACCTCAGAGTTCACGCTGCTGCCTCTGTCCTGTGTCACATCATTAATAGACGCCAGTGTCCCAGTGCCACTGGCAGCCATGCACACTCGAGCCATCACACTGTGTTTTACAGATGATGTGGTATGTTTTTGATCACGAGCTGTTCCACACCTTCGTCATACTGTTTTCTTGCCATCGTTCTGGTTGATCTTGGTTTCATCTGTCCAAAGGATGTTTTTCCACAACTGTGCTGGCTTTTTCAGTTCTTTTTGTTTAATCAAAGTCCAGTCTAGCCTTTCTATTCTTGAGGCTTATGGTCGACCTGCACCTTGCAGTGAACCCTCTGCATTTAGACTTGGACATCGATACAGCTACCTCTCCTGGAGAGTGTTGTTCACCTGGTTGTGATGGGGTTTCTCTTCACCGTGGAAATGATTCTGTGATCATCCACCACTGCTGTCTTCTGTGGACGTCCAGGTCTTTTTGTGTTGCTGAGTTCACCAGTGCTTTCTTTCTTTCTCAGGATGTACAATCTGAAGATTTTGCCACTCCTAATATTGTAGCAATTTCTCAGATGAGTTTTTTCTGTTTCCAGTTTAAGTACGGCCTGTTTCACCTGCATGTAGAGCTCCTTTGACCACATGTTGTCTTCCAAATGCAAACACCGCACCTCAAATCAACTCCAGGCCTTTTATCTGCTTAATTGATAATGACATAACGAAGGAATCACCCACATTTGTCCAATTACTTTTGGTTCGTTTAAAAAGCAGGTGGCACATGTTAAGGAGCTGAAACTCCTAAACCAGGGGCGTCGAACTCCAGGCCTCGAGGGCCGGTGTCCTGCAAGTTTTAGATCTCACCCTGGGTCAACACACCTGAATCAAATGATTATTTCATTACCAGTTTCTGGAGAACTTCAAGACATGTTGAGGAGGTCATTTAGCCATTTCAATCAGCTGTGTTGGTTCAAGGACACATCTAAAACCTGCAGGACACCGGCCCTCGAGGCCTGGAGTTCGACACCTGTGTCCTAAACCCTTCATCCAATTTGGATGAAGATCGTCTCAAATGAAAGCTGCGGGTCTACACATTATGTCAGTGTCCATTATATAACTATAATTGGAATATGTTTCAGTAAACGGGTAAAAGAAAAAAAGAAAGAAAACAACAGCAACTTGCGTCAGTGTCCAAATATATAAGGCCCTAACTCTGTGGTCTGCCACTGGGCTGCTGAGTTACTGGGGTTTCCAACACTTCCACTTTTCACACCAGTGAATACCACTTCCAGTTGATTGTGTATCATCGTGGAGTAAAGATTCACCGACAGTGGCATCTTGTACACTTCCACACTGCCATACAGTGAATGACCCATTCTTTCACAAATGTTTGTGAGGGCAGGTTGCAAAGCCAGTGATTGATTTCACACACCTGTGGCAATAAAAACATCAAAAGATGAAGAGCTGTGGCTCCTATAGTTTTGTCCACATAGTGTATCTATTTATTGAGTGCATTAGAATTATTACATAAATATCTCCACTGTGCAAGCCCGTACTCTGAAGTTGCCAAATGGTAAGAAGACAGCAGCTTTTTCACTGTGACAAAAGCAGAACATCAGCAAGGTATTAAACAAAAAGACAAGCAAATGTCAAAGGAAGACCGGCCCCTCCTGGTTTTTAGCTTCCTATAATCACAATCATCCTTTCCTGCTGATCAAAATAGCTCACAGTATTTACTGTGTGGAGCAGGAGGTTCAAGGTGAGGTTCATGGTTTACTAGGTGAGCGGGAAGCGAAGACGCCCGATGTCTCCAGTATTGTCTTCCTCCGCGCCGTCTCTTTGGCCACGTTGTGGTTGAGCCGCCTCAGACGTTCCTGGACAAAGAAAGCTCAGGTTGTGTAATGTTTCTATATTGTTTTCACACCATTTTCAGGTAACTTGAATAGTTAGTATATCTGTGGTCGCCATGGAAATCGGAATTACAAGTCTCGTCATACAGTATTTGTAGTGTTGGTGATCGTAGCAATATTATTAGTAGCAGTAATTATTATTTACTATAGTGGAAGTTTGTGCCAAATCACAAAAAACATAAAGTGAAGAACTTCTTCATTTCTTGCTGTGCAAACGTTTTAAAGCAGCTTTAACTCTTTGTGGAGTTGTGTGTCCAGCTATAAACCCAACATTCAACTTCCTTTTAACTCAGCTCGAATCTCCTAAAGATAAATATCTGAGTCTAGAGCTGCTAAACGCTCCACTGTGTTCACTTGCTACTTTATAAGGCTGAGATTCTACTTGTTTGCAGACGTGTACACCAGTAAACATCAGGACCAGGCAACTCGTTCTTACTATACTCATTTTTCTTAAAAGTCAAACTAATCTGCCCTGAGCGTGTGTGCACTGCAGAGTCTGCCCAGACAATTATAATGGAGTAAAACAATTATTTGCTCCATTTGTTGCATATTTGTCACACTTGAATGTTTCATAGTATTAAACAAATGTAAATATTTTGCAAAGATAACCTGATAGATACATGATGATTTCAGAACAAACTGAAGGGCACACAGACGTTCACAGGGAGCTCTGGATTCACCCAAAGATGATGGAAATGACGCAGACAGCCTGCAGTTACAGCTGTGCGTGAACATGTGGATGAAGTCCGGCAGTGTTAGGAGAATCAAATCCATAGTTACTCTACGTCACATGTTCCACTCAGGTCACACACGTGATGCCCACTCACTGTACCTCCCTTACAGCGGCCCAATATTACATTATGCTAATTTCCTGCCTAATGTCTGATGTGACGAAGGCTGATCGTAGGCATGCTGACGGGCAGAACGTGATACAGAAGAAGATCAGCTACAGACTGGTCACTGACCTGAGCGTTCTGCAGGATGTTGTTTACTAGCACAACTCTACGCCTCGCATTCAGCAACTTCTTTACATATGGGTCCAGGTCCAGAGCCACCTTCTGATGTTCGTTTATCCTGCATAACTCTGAAAAACCGCACACAGCACGTTACTTATGAATCTTTTATAGCTGATGCTATATTTGAAGCAGGACCTTACCTGTGGCCAGACCGTCTATATGTTCTCTTAATTCCACTTGGCTTTTTCTGTAAAGAAACGTGAGTCACGTGAGTCCAGACACAACTGAACAACAAAACAATCAGTTTGACGGGGAAAGTCAGCTGACTGTCAACAAGCTGGCGCGGTCTAATCTAACGAGGACGCGAGTTACCTGACCGAGTTCACATGCAGGTCGAGCTGCTGTATCGCTGGTCTCAGGAGGTCGAGCAAACCCTCGGCAACAGCATCGTTACCAGAAGAACCTTCGACTAAAGCTGTAGCTGCCATTTTACTGAACCAGCGCGAGCGGACAGGAAGTCGTGCCCTTGTGACGTCAGCGTCACAAGAACCTCTCCATTTTCTTCCCATCAGTAGCCAGGAGCACCATTTTAGGCTTTCGGATCGCGAAGGAGTCTCGATTTCCGCGTTATTACAATATTCCTGGGAGAGTTTGATATAGGGTCAAAGCGCTGTTTCAAGCCGCGCGTGCGTGGGGAGCTAGTATATGGTCAGTTGTATTTAAACAGGATACACGGACACCTATACGAAGCCGCCGTGCTGCTAAAGCTAACCTTAGCTAGCTTTGAGGCATTTCTCTACCAACGCAGAATCCGCTGTAAGTATGAGACGAAGTTGTTGTTCGTCGATAAACGACATGCTAGCGAAGACGAGGCGGAATCGTTACTCCGTGTTCTTGTCTCTGCAGTTTGTTGTAACCGGATGGACGCTCGCTAAACATTACATTTTTCCACCGGACGTGATCGACAATTGGGTTAAAATTAAAACGTTCTCTTAAAGAATCGATCCCTTTTGTTGCTGGTGACACAGAAAAGAGCTTAAAGAAGTTGAAAACTTTGCTAAGTCAACCAAACTGGCGGTGGTCTGAAGTGTAGCTTGGGTGGGAGGGGGTCGTGGGTTCCTCCTACAGGGAGGATTTGTGTGACACTGTGTGTAGTCCTCAAAATAATCTCTGTTAAACACGTGTGTAACAGCTGATGTTAATTACAGCAAATTCCTTGCAACAGTGACTTAAAAGTGGTAATTTAACTTCTAGTAGTAGTGCGTACATTATGTGTAAAAGAGAGGGAGGTGAAACACATTCTCTTTTCTGTTTCCAGGACTCTACAATCAAAGTCTTTCAAAATGAGTGCGGCTGCCTCCCAAAAAGTTGTCCTGAAAAGCACCACCAAAGTGTCCCTAAATGAGCGGTGAGAGGCTACGCACCCTGTCAGAAATTAGTCACCTGCTGCCAGCCTTGGCTTGTGCAGGTTCTGATACTCTGCGGAACCTACTGTTGGGACCAAACCTGATATGGATGCAGCTCTGGCTGTTCCCCGTGTGTGCGCTGCTCATTCAACTCTGCTGGCCCTGTCCTTGTTTGTGTTACATGTAAATGAAGTGTGGGGCAGGAGGGGCTTGCCCAGGCCAAATGTTTTGTGTGAGCAGCACGCACATGTAGACGAGGGGTGACTGTAGCGGTCGTGGTTGGTAACACATACGCAGAACCAGACCACCATCCTGTAAATGCCTCGGCACGCTGGCTCCCTGTTTAAACAGCACTGTATACGTCATGTATACACCATTAAATGGGACAGGAGAGCTAAAGCTAAGTCAGTGAGATGGGGCATCTCGTCTTTTCTGCCTCTCATCTTTTTCTCTCTCAGACCAGTAAAAGTGAAGCTTTTTATCTCCTCGTGTTCTATCATCTTTCTTCTTCTTCTTTCTCCTTTCCCTGCTCAGAGTACTCAGTCCTAGCTTGGACGTGACAAGGGACTACCCCTTCCCCCCAGTTCCCTAGTTCCTGACCACTTGGTGGTTTAAATAAAGTCACGGTCCATCCTGTAAGTGGCTGGGTGCCAAAGCACACCTCATGCCCTGGCCTCTGCTGCTGCGACATGATGACATCCCCGCAGTGTCAGCTGGAGGCTCGTAAGTGGCAATTGTGGCTCTTCTTCTGAAACTTTCTCTCTCCTTCTGTCCTGAAGTCTTCTTTCAACTGTTTTTTCTCCTTGTGTTAATTTTGCAACACAGGCTAAAGTCAAGTGTAAGTAACTCTGGAATATCATATGATTGAGAGAGAAAATAAGTGCCAACAAGTGGAACAAAGTCTAACATGACTAAAGAGCTGCCACGATCGTCCATATGAGAAATGACATGATGTGGAACCCTGCTTCCTCCTCCTCTGTATATCCCCTGTCCCCTTCTTTTACTTCCTCCTTCTTTTTCCCTCCCACCTCTAAAGCTTCACTAACATGCTGAAGAACAAGCAACCCACTGCGGTAAGCATTCGAGCCACCATGCAACAGCAGCATTTGGCTAGCGCCCGCAATCGTCGGCTGGCCCAGCAGATGGAGAACCGGCCTTCGGTGCAAGCCGCTCTGAATCACAAGCAGGTGAGCGCGACGCTCAGGTGAAATTGGTGTCCGTGGCACTGTTGGTTCCATCTCAATATGTTTAACCCGAATTAAGGCTACGTCCACACGTACACAGCTTCTTCTGTGCGTTGGGCCTTTCATCCACACGTGCACGGCTTTTTGCATCACTGAAAACAGATTTTTAAAAACTGTTTATGTGTGGACTCAACACCAAGGGTGTGCACCTTTTCTTGCATCACACGTTATTTTCCATGCGATGAACAAAATATTGTTGCTGTTAATCTGTAGCTTTTACATGCTTTCATATACAAATACAGTTTAGAAAGACATCTTTGTTTACGCTTTCCCTCCCAGGCTGCTCGACTTCTGATTGGCTAACATTTCTACACAGTTAGGATTATAGACAGGGCTGCACATAAGTGGTCTGCAGGTGCGCATTCGCTGTCAAAATAAAAGATGCGCACCAGATAAGAAGTTGCAACGCGCGTTTGCGTACATAAGATTTTCTGGAGGAGGACAGACATTTGTTTAGAACTCTTAAAGATGTCGAAGAAGCTCCTTTAAGCAATTACTGTGATGTTCCTCCACCTCCAAAGAAATATCAGAAGGAGTCCGAAGAAACACGTATTCTCGTAAGTGGTTGCAGGAGGTGAGCTGGCTTCAAACAAATGATGAACGCACAGAGATGTGGTGCAGAATGTGCCGTGAAATTCTCACTCTAGCGGACAAAAACAGCTTTTTATATGGACGCAAACGCGCGCTGTAATTTCTTATCTGGTGCGCGTCTTTCATTTTGACAGCGCATGCACACCTGCGGACCACTTATGTGCAGCCCTGATTATATCGCCACCTGTTGCTTTGGGTCGTTTTTGAAAGCTATTCAATTTGTTTTTTGCATATAAATGTGGACGGGATTTTTTTATTTAAACGGAAAATCTCAGTTTACAAAAACACCTGTGTCCATGTGGACGTGGCCTGAGTGTGTGAGTAGAGAAGGAAATCAGTCACCCGTGGTTCTCTGATGCTGCTGTTCACCACAGCAGTGGGTAAATAAAGAGCACAACCGAAGCTGAACTGCATCTATGGTCCAGTCAGAATCTGTGATCTTGAATATTTTGGATCCATCCAGTCCTCCAGCTGGTCTCTGACCTGGTCAGTCTGTGGACAAAGTGTGATGTGAAATTAAAAAAAAAAGATTACCTGGAGCCTGCAGACATCAAACCACAGTGTCAGCAGTGATGCTGAGGGATGGTATCAGGTTTTATAGGAAAACACCTGGATTTTTCCATTTTTATATTAACAATGACGTAAAAGCGATCGTGCCAAAACGATTTATTATTGCAGCCATTCCCCAAACCTTGGACTGCCACAGCCCAGTTTGAAATGTGAAAAGCTTCTGCTGCTCACAGCTCTGATCAGTGTTTGACAATTAGGCATTTCTTTTGAGTTTCGGGTGACTTAATTCTCCACACGCTGCTCTGATTTCCAAATGTTCTTTCCAAATAACGGGGATTGAAAAATGGGTCGGAAGACGATCATCCCCTGGGCTTGTTTCAGTTTTCATGGCAACCTTAAACTGACTGCAGAGTCCAAGTTAAAATGTCCTTTTTGACAGAAATGTTCAAAGCCCTTTGATTTTGGAACAACTCCTGTACAAGTATAAGACCTTTTAAAATGATGTAGTCTATAATAACAAGTTCCTGGCTCTTTCAAAATTAAAATCAAAGGAAGAATCCAGCTAAGGTACCGACAGCATTTTAGATTTGATTTCTTATTTGTTAACGTTTGTGATTGGAGTCGACTGCAGCGTTTGTGCAGAGTGTGAGAGTCCTGGGTGAAACGTGTGCATGCACACAGAGCAGCATGATTGCATCCTTCATCGCAGCTCTGTGGCAGCACGTGAAATCCAGCCTGCCCAGCACCTGTAGGTCACGCTGGCCTCGTTCAGTAAAGACTTGCTGTGAGTCTGAGCCGCAGGTCATTACGAGGCTCCTGTTACTGCCATGTGCAAGATGACATTTCCTGAGGATTCAGCTTACTGATTTTAATTTTGTCATAATTGCTTTTGTAATGTAGCATTTGTAATTAACATGTGTCAGAGCCTAAAGCAGCGACTGGGGAAGAGCAACATCCAAGCCCGGCTGGGTCGGCCTGTTGGGGCTCTGATGCGTGGAGGACCTCCAGGAGGCAGAGGAGGAATGCGCGGGATGAACAGAGGAGGTCTTCGGGGACGAGGCAGAGGAGGCGTAATGAGGGGAGCTCTGTCCCTGAGAGGTATGTATCAACAAACATCGCTGTCTGCCTGGATTCTAATGGCATCCTTTAAGCTGTGAACATACTGGAAGTGATTTGCAGGAGACTGTATTTGACTGTCGCTTCGTTTTTAAGTCTTGCTTCGTGCTCCTACTGAGTGTTGGCTTTGCATTACACAGGGAAGCGAGTTTCTACAGGTGGGCCCATGCGAGGCCGTGGTTCTGCCGGTCGTATGGCGATGCGTAGAGGAGGCCGCCAGCGTGGTGCAGGTGTTGGAAGAGGAGGAGCTCTGTCCCGAGGAGCAGCTCGAGGAATGCCCAGAGGTCAGGGGCTTATTGTTATTTAATTCAGCTTATTTGTGTAGCACCAGTGAACTGTCATTTTTAATATCTATTCAAAACTGTTTTATTCATACAGTGCAAGTCACAGCAGCGCTCGCCTCAAAGTGCTTCATGTTACGGTAGAGACGCTGACACAGGACAACAAAAAGTGATAACTAATGACTAAATGTAGAGTGGGGTGAATGCTGTAGCTGGATAAAGGTGCATAAAGTGCATCATGGGAAGCTCCTGGCAGCCTAGGCCTATTGTAGAGTAACTAAGGAAGGATTCAGGGTCACCTGATCCAGCCTTAACTATATGCTTTATTAAAAAGGAAAGGTTTGAGCCTAATCTTAAAAAGGACAGAGGGTGTCTGTCTCCTGGATCCAGACTGGGAGCTCTTCCACAGAAGCTGAAGGCTCGGCCTCCCATTTAAACTTCAATTATCTGATGAGCTACAAGTGAAGCAGCAGATTGGGAGCGAGGTGCTCTGTTGGGGTGATGCGGTTCTTTGAGGGCTCTAAGATAAGATTATTGAAGACTTTGTGAGGGGGACTTTAAATTCAGAGCCAACAAAACATTTGCTCTTCAGTTTAACAAACTCCTGAAGATTTCTGCTCTGTGTTGCTTGACAGGTCGCGGGGGGCTGCGTGGACGTGGCGGTTTTGCTGGGCGACGTGGACGTGGCCGAGGTGTCGGTAGACCGGCTGTTACTCGCGAGCAGCTGGACAACCAGCTGGATGCCTACATGTCAAAGACTAAGGGACATTTGGACGCAGAACTGGATGCCTACATGGCCCAGGCAGACCCTGACTCTATGGAGTAAAGGACTGTGGACTGAGCACACAGAGGCGCTGAAGTTGGACGAACAGTGTAGTGTTGATGTGCTGAGAAATGATTGTTAATTTAGCTGAAAGTGATGACACTTTAGGTGGCACCCAGTAGCGGTCTAAACAATATTGTGTGGGTCACTGCTCGGTTGTGCATCGACCCGCTCGTTCAGAGCCCTTTTAATCCTGGAGGGACTTCTTATGCATTAACAAACCCTGCTGTTTCTAGACTTCTGTGTCCAAGACGGGTTTTTTCCGTTGTCATTTTTTTTATTTATTTTTTTTTCTCCAAAGGGACAAACTGTCAAAATTTTACATTTGTTGAAAGCAGTTTTTAAATGTGCTTTTCTTTTAAACATTTGCCTGCTCGAATCGTGGGAATTCAGAAGTTTTAAGCATCACTTTGTTTGCCGTTTGATGACAGTGAAATGTTCTAGGTGAAATTTGAATTAAAGTGGAAACTATTTCCTTAATTGTGTCAAATGTCTGAGTTTTAAATGTGCATTCACATCCAAGAGCTGGCTGTCTTTGAATGGTGTTTTTGTAGGAGGGGGGGTTGATGCTTTCACTTCTGCTGTTTTCACAAAGTAACTTTGAGGATGCCATGTTCATTTTGGGCCGAAGATGGCTTTGTTGCACCAACAGAATAGTTCTCATGAGTCTGTGGGGTATCTAATGAAGTCAGAGGACTTAGTGCCACAAAAAATAAACAACTTTTGGAAAAACCTTGTTTGTTTTTTTGTTTTTTAATGAAACTGAATTATTCCCAAGTCTTTCACTTTGCCCTCTTTGAGGTTTTTTTTGTAAAAAGAAAACTACAGTGAGTTTCTGGAGTTTGGAGGCTCAGCATTTCTCTCAGCTTGTACTTGGGTGCAGTCTTTGATCTGAATAGTTTGTTGTGACTTGATTGGATTTTAGAATCTTATTTCTTCATTGTTCAGCTGTGTTTGGTTAATTTTCTGCGATGAATTTTAATGTAGTTCCTGTTTTGTTTAGAAATCGTTCGTGTGTCAACACAAAATGTTAGCAGTTTAAGTATGCTTGTAGGTAACATTCACAAAGGTAGCATGGTTTGGCACTTAATTTTACCGGTCAGAGTATTTTTCTAGCTAATATTCATAAAAGTAGGACAATTTGCTACTGAATTTCGTGTTGTGCGCATGCGCAGAAACAACGGGTAGGATGGATTACCAGAACACCGGATCAATCCAAAGATTGATAATGCTGATACCACATTGGTATCAGATGGTTGCATAATGCGATCAGTATTTAAATTTGCATTTAGTACTGTTGCTGCTTCATCCGAAAGTGGACGTCTCTGTGCTAAAAGCACTTGTCACGTGTCTTGCATATTTTGTTGCCAAGCCCTCAAATGAATGAGGCTGAGCAGACGCGTCACGCATGTAGAACGCAGTGAGTGATGGCAGACACAAAGGAGCATCCCGTGGAGACACAAACACTAGAAACTTTGCAGGAAGGCTATTTGCTATTGTGACACCAATTTATACAAACAAGAACACTCGCGATAAACACAGCTGCTTTGTACATTAATAGTATGGGCTCTTGCTATCAGCGACGCTGGAACTGTATTTGCTTAGCATCGGATCTGCAGCGTCGCGTGAGTAGGTGTCGAAAACCGGTTTCGAGTGACGTAACACTTGCTATAAAGGGCTTTGCGCCGGGTCTCGAGTTCCTTTCTCTGCGGTCCGTCATGCGAGGACGAGAGGTAAGCCGAACTGAGCGGGTTGGTTAGTTATGTCCTCTGTGTGTATATAGATATGTGGTTGCATACGTTTTATTATTTAAAACTTAAATGCGATGCTCTTAAACCTCTGTGGACATAGCTAACATCTAGCTTGGCGCTAAAACTGTACGCGTTTTTTAGTATACAAGCTTCCAACAATGCGCCAATTTATTTTTAAAAACGACAAAAAATAAACCGTCGACTGGTTTTCCTCTGGTTAGAATCACGTTTCACCGCACAGAATCACAAAGTCAGGACAGTCCTTACTCTGATTTGCTCGAACCCGGTGTTAACACAGGGTGTTAACTTCGGTACTCCCGGAGAGCCTGGTTAGCTTTCTGCGGGGAGTACGACCCGACCTACGCACGTGGAAGGCGCCGTGGCCGGCGTGTATGTTAGTGTGGGGTGCCCGAGGAATATCTGGCCGAGCAGAGAGGGCACTTCTGCTGCCCGCTCCACTCCGAGGCCTGTCCGTCAACCTGCAGTGCGCGCTGTTGTCGGAGGGAGGCAGTGTGCCGGGTGTGTTACAGCGTGTCTGTGAGCCAGCCGCGACAGAGCGAAGCTGTAATAGAAAAGCTGAGGTGAAACAAAGAGTTAAAAATGATGAAAAGCGTCGCTGCAGCCGCTGTCTGTGCTTTTCCTGCTTTATATTTTGCGCTCTGGGTTTTTTCGTGGTTCTTTCGTACTCTGAGCTCTGCTATCGCTCCCTGCTCTGTTCCGGCTCACTTGTCAACCAATCAAAATTCGGCAGGCTCAAACGTCATCCGCTTCCAACGACGCGCAGTCAGGGTCTTGGAAATAATTGAATGTCTGTATTAAGTCCTCTAAAAGTCCTGTGAAGACCAACGTGGGCTGCATGTGGCCCACGACGTAAAATGAGTGTGAAAGCCGTCCTTTAGAAGTTTCCAGAAGTGCAACGTATAAATGTAGAGACAAGACTGTTTCTGGTAACCTGTAGGCAAAAACTATTGTACATCGATGCATTATTATCATAGCAAGTGTTAACAAGGCAAACCTGCCTTATTGATATATCTAAGCTTGTATTACCATGGAGACGGTGCTGTTAATTAAGAAACCAGAGCATTAAGAGCAGTGCACCTCTTGCCGTTTGAAAGAATGCAGCTTGGGTGTTATGAACTGAATCGTATGCATATTTTTATATGGTATCTGCCCACAATGCCACAGTGCAATCACCCGCTGGGGTTTTCCTGCACTGTGGACTAATCCCTGGGCTACAGTGGCTATAGAACATCAGGTTTTGCTTTCACCTCTGCATCATTGGTTGCTTAGTGGTGACAATGAGCCCTGACACACTCGACATACAAGTTTGCATCTCCTCCCATTTAACACAAACTTCTCGTTTTGCAGGATGTGATGGGGAGCAGTGGCTCTACAGTTCTTGCTGCTGCGATGGTGCATGTGGTCAGTTGTATTTAATGTTTGTTTCAACAAAACTGTAATGGCTAATTTTTGTCTGGTTGCAACGCTCATAGGTCAACTTGCCTGTCAGCCTCAGCTAAAGCACTATTAAAGATTTGTTAATCCAAGCAACAAAGCAGAAGATAAACAGTGGATGTTTTCACTTCAACAACAGAAATGGGCTTTAGAGTCCAACCATAATCTGCTTGGCTGTGGTGCCTCAGCTAAATATCCATTTCTTCCTGTATTTTTAAAAAAAACAAAAACTTGCTTTAGCAGTGGTGAAGCACCAAAATGAATATGACACACTACTTTCACGCATGACTGTTGATTAGCACAGTATGAGCTCTGGTTCTGTCAAGTGGGCCATAAAGCTTATGCAGTGCAAAGAGCAATATATTCTCTTGCAACCCACTGCTGCAGACTTTCCGCAGCAGTGTTACTAATGAGGACTAACATCTGTTGGTGACCTCGCGTGTTCTGTAAACTGACCTGAAATTTCAGTTTGAAAACTTGTTAAAACGAGAAACTGTACCGTTTCCCTGCAGGTGTCGCAGACGACGCTTCAGTCCAACTCGGTAAGTCGTGCTTGAGGACTAATGTGCTGTAGACCAAGTAATGATGATTGGCTTAATATGTTCAACTGCTCTGAAGTGTGAGTGACAGCTGCCTCTCTGAACACCTGCTGCACTGTAACCACAAACTGAGTGTTGTTGAAGTCCCGCTGACCTCCATCCTACCTCCTTCTGGCAGGTTTTCCTCCTGACCTGACTTTCTGCACTGAGGCAGCAGTGAACGGTACGTCGCGTTTCTGCATCCATATCACTCCCACGATGTAAATGTCCACCACAGTGAAAACCAGACTGACACATGATTGCAATCAGTGAATCAAGATGTGCAAAAGGAAAAACAAGATCCATTAGAATGAATGTTAATCTCAAGGAGAAGTGAATTGGAGCCACAATGGCAGCACTGTGTGGTATCTGCAGCCAGCTGCTTCGTTAGCTGGTTTGTTCAAAAGTCAGTGCAAGATGAACTCAACAAATGGCATCGTTGGTCTCCCGACTGCTTGTGTTTGGAGTCCTGGTAAACATGTTGATACACACTGCATTACTCGTGGATCCGTACTCGTCAAAGCTGTTTTTGTTTTTTTCCTGCAACTTAATTTTTGTTGCTGATCTGAAAATGAATTGCTTTTGTAATCAGCCATGGTGTTTGTCCCAGTAACCCTGCATCAACTGCTGAGCTCACTGTTAACCTTTTTCCAGGTTTCTGCTGCCACAACTGATCATGTCCTGATCCAAGGTTTCAACTGCAGTAATGAAGGTGAGGATTGGCCCAAAGGACAAAAGGGGCTGGAGCCTTGGTCCTTCCTTACTAATGTCTGTGGAAATGTGTTTTTGCACAGAGTAAGAACAAGTGCATATGCAGATTGTCTTGTTTCTAACGCTGTTTATCTTGTGTAATTAAAATAATTTTCTATCAGCAGGTTGTGCCAAAATGTTGCTGCCACACCTCATTCCCCTGTAAGTGTCAACATGTTTCCCACGAGGTGCAAGTGACAAACCCTCTATGGTTAGGAGGAAGCAGCAGACTGTCCAACTGAAGACGCTGAAATAAATCAAGTTCAAGTAAGAAATTGACTGATGCTTGATGTAGTCATATCATTTATGCTCCGTAGTATGCTGAGGTCTATCCCGACAGACCTTTCTCTGTAGGGCCGTGTCGTTGGAAATGCCTCACAAAGTAAATCTGTTTCGCTTTACCCACATGTTCACTGCCATGAACGTTGTGAGATACTGATGCAGAACAAGTGTCTGTCAAATATTACCAACTGCTCCATAGATTTTCTATTCTGTCATTGTTTACAAGTCTTATCAGTGGACTGTTTTCATATCACTGGTTAGGGTGGACCACACAGATAAACATGGATAGGAGTAATCGGTATAGTGTGAGTACCGTGAGGTTCTGTGCATACCACGAGCCTGCTTTAACAGAGTTTCTTTTTTTAACTTTAATATTTTTTTAGATGAATGATCTCTGAAAATCCCTGAACTCTATAAAACTCACAACATGAGGTTTTCAGCAACATTTGTAAATTTATAAAAAAAAAAGAGAGAGGGAGAGATCTGGAGCAAAGAGGCAGAGCAGTTACCGCGACGATGAGCTCAGGTGGCATGAAGGAATTCTTTCCGAGCATCAAAAACAGCAGCACTTGTTACTGTAATCAACATTAAAACTTCCTGTTCAACAAGCTCCAGTATGAGGAAAAGCCAGCTGCTCGCATGCAAAGTGACAGCAGTGAAAATGAAATGTGCAGGTGAACAATTAACTTTAGACTTGACAGTTAACTGAAGCCTGCAGCAAGCAGGCCTGGGTCTAAAGACGGTCTTCATTGGAGCATGTAAATGTCCACATGACAGGACACGCTCCAATAATTTAAACTCTCCATATTACTGTGAAGCACTTTGGTGTGCCTTCGGGTTTTTAAGTGTGCTATATAAATAAAATTGTATTGTAAACCCATGTGTTTCAGAATCTGAAGGCTGTCCTGCCTGCATGGAAAGGATTGCAGCTGATCGCTGTAAGTAGTGTTTGTGCGTCTGTGTGTCAAAGTGGTCATGAACCAAGGCTGTCAGGATTCTGTGTTCCTGTTTAGCTGTGGACATGACCAAAAAACAAGCCATCCCAGTGGGCTTCTCAAGTAACCAGCTTAGAAGAACCTGTTGGGAACATTTCCTGAGGGGTATATGAAAAAGCAAAATTCCAGGATTAGTGACATGCTGAGGCTTCACTTTCAGGAAGGTGTCGCTCAGTCACTTTGATTCAATAAAAATGTATTTCTATAAGGCCAGTTCACAGTAAAGGTGCTTTTAATGTAAAGAAAGAAGCTCCAGCAGAACCAGGCTCAGGGGGGTGGCAGTCGTCTCCTGTGACTGGTTTGGGGTGAGGGTAAACAATCATGATGTCGTTGCTATAACGACGCCCAGCCCATTGGGGCAGTAGTTGAGTGTAGTGACAAACTGTAGAGTCGAGCTAAGCAGCTGACATATCCAACACAATTGATGTCACTGACTTCACTTAGTGACGGTGCTGCAGTCATTCTGTGTCTGACATCTGTTCTTTCCTTTCAGCAGCGGATCAGTGATTCCTGAGAGGAGACGGTTCTCCAGGCTGACGCTGGCTTTGGAGGAAACGTGTTGTAACCTTTGCAAATGAGGATTTAATAAAGGATGTCTTGTTACAGCAAACCTCGACTTGGCACTTGTGTTTGGACCTTGTTTAAGTCTTTGGCTTGCAGAAACAAGATCAATGAATACTTGGTGGTAATACATTTTAAAGCTCCGTACTTCATGATGGTTTTGGGACATGGATGTCTGAGGGTTGATGTTTACACGTGTTCAGGTCTGATGGTTCCAGAACCTACTGAGGAACGTGGGGGGTTTTATTTTATCACTGACTATTTTTAAAGAAAAGATCAAGGTTTTATTTTTAAAATCTTGCCTTGTCATAGATTTAATTCCTGCGCTGTCCTATTAAACTTGAGACTAGCACTCACTGATACTGGGTGTTTGATCTTGATGCAGAGGGCGCTGGTATACTGTAGTAGCTTACTTTCTCCACTGGGAGGCAGCAGTACTCCATTAGCTTGAACAAGTACAACCTACAAAAAGTAGGTTGAAGTTCACAGAGCTCAGAACGGCTTCGTGCAGGAACCAGACACCATATCGACGTTCCTAAGAAAGCTGCTGGGAGTTCTGCAATACTAGGTTTAACCTAGAAATGGCTAGATTTCTCCATGGGCTGTCATGAAGCTGTTGGGACAGGCTATTTTAACATCTTCTAGACTAGTGCTGTCAAACATGAGGCCTGGAGTCCAGGAAAACCCCAACCCAGCCTGCTTGGCTAGGTTGGGGTTTTCCTGAGGCCATACATTTTCTTTAGTCTATACTTGTCTTCACAGGTTTTAGTTTTACTTTCTTTCTCATGAAAACCTCCCATGTGTCCACTAACAGTACACAAAGGTAACTACATTTTCGATTTGTTATTTTTGCACATGACTAATTACAGGTTAAGCTCAGAGTCATTCGCTTTCTTTCTTTTGCTACAGGATAAATGAGAAATGTTGAACCTGCTGCTCTTTGTCTTATGTTAAAAGATCTTATTGATTGCACGTGTAGTTGCACTCTTGCCACTGACTGAAATTAGTTTGACTCATCCATGTAAGGTAAGAGTATAAAATGAGCTTGACATCCCTGTTTTAGACCAAGACTCAGTATTATACTTCCCTTTTTAAATGCTTATATTGTACAAAACACTCCCTTATTTCCCTGAAGCTCATATAAAGGATATCCATCCAGTTTTAGCCCTCTGTTTAGTGTTGACCTCGAAACCTTGAGCGTTCGATTCATTCTTTAAAACAGCTACTGGACAAAAAAGGCTACAGTGAAACTGAAGATGTTCAAAAATTAAATATTTCAATAGGTTTATAATTTCATGTGCCTTATGTATTTTTGTTTTTGCGCGTGATTATAATCTGTTTCATTTATTCTACTTTATCAAAGTATTTGGTGATACTGTGAGCTTTCTTTTTTTTGCCTGTCCCGTTTGGCTCTTTTGCCATCAGAATTATTGCCTAAAGGCAAAGAAAGATACCCAACGGATTTACTTTACCAAATGGACCATCCCAGCCTTGCCGTAATGGTCCATTTGATTCACCTTTTATTATTTTATTTTTACTTGTTAAATACGGGACAGACTTTACTGGGGAAAAGAAAGAGGAGAAAGAAAAACAGCGGGGAAGAGGGACGGAGATAAAGGGCAAAAAACAAAAACCAACAAAATAAGCAGACAAAAAATACAAATATCAATCACCTGTTGAAAAAGAAAAAAGAGAAAACGAGCAGAAGAAAGAAAAGAGCAACATAATAAACAACATCGCGATGATCTATGTGAATATAACAGTAAATATTAAACAGCACGTAAGATCGACAGTGTGCTTTGAGGTAGGAGCTAAAACGGTGTCGTTTGTGATACTGTGAGCTTTCAAGTTTCCCCTACATGTGATACTGAATTGACTCATTGTCAGGCCAAGATTTACTATAGACTATAAATGCAATGTTCTCTCTGTGTACTTCCAGTTTCCTGTGCGCGCATCTGCTGAGCACGCTGTACATTCTCCCAGCCACGCGGTGTCCACGCGTTGTTTCGTTGCGCTGATTGGGCAGGGCTGACACAAACAAAGTTTTCTCCACCAATCAGAGCAGTGTGCACGCACTGAGCCATGCTGTTCATTCTGCCTCCTCGTGCCCCGCTCATAAAAACTGCCTCCTCCCTTTGTTTACAGCAAAGTGAATCGGTCGCTCGACGTGTTTGGATTATCGGTAGGGATTTCCAAGGGATTTATTTGTGAAGTTTCACGATTCAGCTCATTTTGTCCATTTTCGAGGTTGTCAATCATGGTGGCGATGACGAAGAAAGTTAAAATCTTTCAGATAATCTTTTCCGATCCCAGTAAGAGTTTTTACTGCGGCGGAGACACGGTGTCCGGCCGTGTCGAAGTGGAAGTCAGCGAAATGATGCGGGTGTCCGCGCTGAAGCTTCTGGGTCTGGGCTGCGCCAAGGTGGAGTACGCTAAAGGCAAGCAGCGGTGCCGACAGGAGGCCGAGTACCTCAGACATGAAACGGTCCTGCGGCTGCAAGACCAGCCCACAGGTACGGGAATGACCTTTATGCTGGATATCCTGGAATGTGTGTTCGACATTTACCGACTTAAAACATGTTTGTGGGTGTTGTAAGAATTGTCAGGGCAGCCGTGAAACCTGCTGTGCATGAATATTGCTGTAAACTGTTTACTTTCTTTTCCAGACTCTGACGGCTCCGTGGTGTTGAGACCTGGCAACAAGTACGAGTACACGTTTGGATTCGAGCTCCCTCAGCAAGGGTGAGGATGCGCTATGTGACGCATGCTTTTCCGTTATCTAAAGAGATGCAGTGTGCACCTCTCCACTGACTTACAAGTGATGGAGCAATAACGGTTCTTACAGGCAACTGGTGTCGTCATACAAGGGGAAGTTCGGCTACGTCCAGTACTGTGTCAAAGCCCTGATGGAGAGGCCGCAGCAGCCCGTGCTAGAGTGCAAGAAATGTTTCGAGGTGGAGGAGCCACTGGATGTCAACACCCCAGACCTGCTGGTGAGTTCACTAATGCCAGAACATAGTCAGTGTTTTTGTCATTGAAGCTTGGGACTGCATAACCGAACAGTCTTTCTGCTGCTCTTCAGTCTCCAGCAGGTGGCATGAAGGAGAAGAAAGTCACCTGCATGTTCATCCCTGACGGTCAGGTGTCACTGAATGCAAAAATTGACCGGCGTGGATTCTGTGAAGGCGAAGAGATCTGCATCAATGCGAAGTTTGAGAATACCTGCTCCCGCATTGTTGTGCCCAAGGCTGCCATCATAGCCAAACACACCTACCAGGCAAACGGCCGCACCAAGATCCTACGCCAGAAGCTGTCCTCGGTGCGTGGTAACCACATCATCTCTGGGATGTGCGACGCCTGGCAGGGAAAAACTATCAGGGTACCGAAGATCAAACCATCCATGCTGGGCTGCAACATCATCCGCGTGGAGTACGCTCTGATGGTGAGCCTTCAGTTTCTGAAAGTTTTGGTGTTTATCTCGTAAACATTGGTGTTAATAACTGTGTTTTTCTACATCATAGATTTACGTACACATTCCTGGTAGTGACAAGCTGATCCTGGAGTTGCCTTTGGTCATTGGGACTGCCGGTCTGGGCAGCCGCAGCAACAGTGTGAGCAGCCAGGGCAGTTCGGCCAGCACTGCCTCCCAGAGCTGGGTGTCTCTCAGGATGCCTTCTGAACCTCCGAGCTACTGCGACGTGACCCGGGACTGCCGCCTAGACCAGCCTCTCACACCTCTCCTTGATGACTTTGACGGCGATGACAGTCCCATCTTTATGAACGCACCAGCCTTCGAGTACCCAGCGCCGCCAGCCTACAGTGAGGTAAGCATCTCTGGTAACTTAAAAGTGTCCTGTTAGTAAGAAGTTGCGCTCCTTGAGATAACTAAAAGGAATTACGTGTTTTTTCAGGCGGAGGAGGAGTTCAACGGCAATGCTCGCATGCTGCCGGTCTGCTGAAGTCCACCAGTGGGAACCGTGGAACTGTGGTCCACCTGTTAAGGACCAAACTTGAAAACAGGCAGAAGGTCTAAACTCCAGAGGAGGTTGGATGGAGAAGTAAAGGCACGAGTGTGGAGGTGGACCGAAATGTTGGTCGTTTGTTACGTCAGCTGCCTTCAACCTGCTTCATCGCTTATGAGTCTTCCTGCTCGTGCTCCTCAGACCAGAGATGTTGAGGCCCGATGGCACAGTGATATGCTGCATTTCTGAATAAGCTGCCCTTTCCAGAGACTCTCCATTTACAGCCACTATGACTTTGTTACTGGGCCGAGCACTGGCCTGCTGTGGCACCGTGGCTTTTTCTCATTGCACTCCAAGCCTGTATTTTTACAGGACTACTCAAAAGGAAACATCCTTTTACCAGTCCACTCAGTTTGCATCGCTGTTACGAAATTGTTGGGAACACTGTTGCTTTTCAGAATCACAGCATGTAAATTTCTTCCTTAAATGTCAGTAGCGTTACCAGTGTTTGAAAAAAGTCCTTTATTCCTATATTGTTGCACTTTTTGAGCGCTTTTGACTCTCCTACTGCCCAGAAGACTCTGTTCAACTGAACAATGTTTTTGATGTGGAGATATGCAACTTCCAAATCACAGCTTGGTGACTGGTGCTAATTACTGCGAGTGCCGTCCATACCACACGCTCTCGATGGAACGCACTTTATCTGAGGATCCTTGTATCTGATCTGCAGTTGTCCCAGACAACATTTCATTTAAGAGTTCCACTTCTGTGAATTCACAACTTCTGTTCTTTCAGGGCGCAGGGAAATCACTGTTAATGACTCATTTGTGAGAAAATATGTTTGTAATACGCTCTTGATACGTGCAGATGTTTTTGTATGAAACCCTATGGGTTCTTTTTTTTTTATTAAAAACTATCCACTCACTTGTCTACCTCCTCCTTTTTTCTTTTTTTTTTCTGGTTGTCAGCTAAAAAATTTTAATCGCTGCAGGTTTTTGTTCCGCTTGCACAAACTCTTTGCGCAGCGAGCCGATGGAGAGGTCTTTAATCGCGTGTGCAGTTATATCTGCCCGTTTCTGTGAGGTCG